ACGATCAGATAAATAAGATTTAAACCAGCTTAGTGCAGAACCTTTTAGGCCAATTAAGTGATCCAGTCTCTGTAGCAGAATTTGATGGTCAATTGTGTCAAACGCCGCACTAAGATCTAATAAAACAAGTACAGAGACTAGTCCTTTGTCTGAAGCAATCATAAGGTCATTTGTAATTTTAACTAGTGCTGTCTCAGTGCTATGATGCACTCTAAATCCTGACTGAAATTCCTCAAATAAATTATTATCATGGAGAAAATCACACAGCTGGTCTGCTACTACTTTCTCAAGGATCTTTGATATAAAGGGAAGATTAGATATTGGTCTATAGTTGGCTAACACCTCTGGATCCAAGGTGGGCTTTTTTAGGAGAGGTTTAATTACAGCTACCTTAAAAGACTGTGGTACATAGCCTGTTAATAAGGCTATATTGATCATATCTAATATATGAGTGTTAACTAAAGGTAAGACTTCCTTAAGTAGCCTAGTTGGGATGGGGTCTAAGAGACACGTTGATGATTTAGATGAAGAAATCACTGTGGTCAGTTCTTAGAGGAAAAATCTGGGAAGGGCAATCTAAATATATATTAGGTCTTACAGCTGTGTTTGAGGTTAGATAGGTACTATCTGATGACAGGAGATCATGAATTTTGCCTCTAATAGATAGTTGACTCAAGATGGTCAGACTGTGTTTATAGAATCAAATAACGAATTAAAACCAACTTATCGGGGGAAATGAACAATTGAACATACATCAGCGTAATAATAACTACCTAAAATAACAAAAAACATGTTTGGAGAAATTTTATTTGATGTGTACTTGTACTTAAATCTTGAGTTGTTAGTGTCCCTTCTATTGAGGGTGTGGAACTTATGACCTGTACTACAGGCAGCCAAGAGGGAGCGATCGAGATGTTTTGGCCAGCACTATCCTACCCCAGCCCCCATTAGTGTTGCTAGTGTTATTTCCGTTTCCCTGGAAACGCATGGGGTCTGACTAATAACTTGAAAACAATCAGTCACGTCAGTGGACTCCAATACGTAATGAAGCCTAGTTTATTACTCCAGCAAGTAGACCGAGCCTTAGTAATGACGTAGCAACAGAGAGGATTTCTAGTCCCTGTTGAGTCAGCAGCCAACTTGAGCTAACGTTAATGCTTACTAGAGATTGTGAGATTTCCCAAACTGAATAAATACCGCTCATATAAACACTAAACTGCTTTGCAGCTCAAACAGGATGTAGCCTAACTAAGTTATCTGCTGAAAAAAATCATGTTTCCATGGACAGATTTAGTTACTAAGTCCGCAAACTTCACATGTATTTTGAAGCTCGTAGCTCTGTGTCACAGCTGATGGAGGAGCGTACATCAAGGCTGATGTGATCCAAACATTTCCAATAACTCCAGAGGGTTGTGAAGTCCAAAATATCAACATTTATTGAAAAGATAGATGTCATCATTTCTGAAATTAACAACATGTTTTTATCTAACGAAATATTCTGCTTCAGTCCATATGGAGTTTGGCCTTTCAGAAACATTTTCACTGCTGTCACTAAACTGTTTGTTCTCTGGCTGCTGCACACAAGAGGCAGTAGCACCTGTATTAACGAGCTGTCTGCATCAATTTAACAGCACCATTAGTGTTATGTTCATTACATAAAGTTCATTTAATAAAATAAAATAAAAAGACAAGTTTAATATCTTCTGAACTGGCGGAGTAATATGTTTGGTGATGAGTAGCTGTGCTATCATGCTGATTTGAGCACATTCTAAGAGTTGATCAATCAGATTGGTTGGTCGGAACTATGCAACGTCACCGAACGAAGCCGTGCAGTTACAGTAGCGCTCACTGTATGGATCACGTTGCAGTGATGCAGAAAATCTATTCAGAATATAATTTGATCTGATTTGCAGGTCGTTGTTGCTCTGACTGAACTACTGAATGTGTCTGTAGTGTTCTCTGGACATTTGCCCACGCTGGCTGTAAAGCAGGGGTGGACTGGGACAAAAATTCAGCCCTGGCATTTTCTGACCAGACCAGCCCACTACATTATCAGCGGACACCACGTAGAAGTCCACAGATCTGGGCAGAGAGTTAGAGAGGAAGTCTACGCAGCCAAAACAGCATGCCACCTTAAACTATAGATAAAAGCTATAATTAAGCCTTGTATAGTGCTCAGGGTCCAATTCTACCCAATGTTGTTGTTGTTTTTTTTTTAAGTTTTTCTCAGTGGCTTTGGAGCATTTCTCACATAACTATTAATCATTTGCACAACAGTTAGTGCATTTCTCAAAACAATTAGTACAAACTGCAAAACCTTGTTGATAACCTGCAGCAAGCAAGTATTCATGTCAATGAAAGTGTGCTTGTCATAAAAAAAAGTCCTGACACCATCGTTTATGAACAAGATAGTCAAATGGCTTTGTCATGTTTCATTATGACACTTTACTCTCTAAGTGTTTTCCAATGCAAAAAAGTCAGATCTTTGTGCAAATAGTGCTGTCTTGAGCATTTTCAGGTAGTGTCACAGCCATTTGAAAACTACAGTAAAAGTTACACATATACTGCATTTAATGAGGTAACTGAGTACAATACACTGAATACATACAATTCACATTTTTACTGCATATACTCTTTGCAATTTTAATTTCTTCACAGCATTGTGCAAAAGAAAAATACACACTTAGAAAGTCCCTTTAGCTAGAGCTGTGCACAAACAATATTATAGTCCATTGGAATTGTTCAATTTAGGACACATTGTCTGGGAAAAAAAAGTGATAAAGAAATGTATAAAATTAGCTTGACAGATTTTGACAACTAGTTGAACATGTTTGTATGTAATTACTCAAGCAACTAAATGAGGACTATTAGTTTTATAGGGAATGACTATTCAGCATTCATAAGTATAGTTCATTTTGACTGACATGACATAAGCAAATGATAATGTTATAAAACAGCAGAGAATTGTATGAAATTTTCAATTTGTTAGAAGGAATGAGAAACTGCTGCCATGATGTGCACAAATGACTCAATGTTGTGGAGGCTGAATTAACAGTTATGAGACTTTTAATTCTGATCAGAGAAATGCACCAAAACAACTGAGAAAAAAATATAATATTTGAGAGCTGTAAAATAGCCTGAGCACTTTTACTGGAGCCTCAAATTGGACAATTTCTGACAATAACCATCCTTTCCTATCCTATCTCTCCTCGTCTTGTACTCCAGATCAAAATATGTATACGTTTATAAACATTTTCTGTGCAGTTATTATACTTTTAAGGTATTTGACCCTTAATAATTCAAAATCATCAGACAAAACTAACGCTTTAGTCTTTACATCCAAAACAGTTCATGTTTTTCTCCTGTTTTATGTAATTGGATACTTTACTGAATGGTTTTAAATGTATTTTCTCCATTAAAAAGAGTAAGAACAGACTAAATACTACACTCTGCTCTCAGAAAGCTTCATGGGCCACTTTTGCAGGTAAAGCACTGCATGAAGAAATGACTGCTTGACTTTATCAATAAAGGTAATATCACATTCAATGTAAAAAAAAAAAAATACACCCTCAGGGCTGCCAACTTTTGACTTCAGCTTGGAGTGAGATTTGTTCAAAAAACATGTAATTTAAAACAAATTTCCTGCATTTCTACACCACCTAACCTCTTGGATTAAGACAAGAAAGAGCAACCATGTATAATGTTAACCAAAAATGTAAAATTATATTACTAGATTTCAGCATTGAGGTGGTTACATACATAATCCAGACTAAAATCCATGGTCCCGAGTGTCTGTCGCTAGTGCGCATCTTAATGTGTCGGGGAGTGAGGTTTTACGCACAGCACTGTACCTGCTGGCTACCGCTACACAGAGGCATGCCAACCTAAAAACCTATTATTGGGAATCGTGAGAAAGCGACGGAGACACAGAGCATTCCCGTAACCATAGTAACCCACTCGCTCCTGCCTGTGTGCGCACGGCATGAGAGGAGAGGAAGAGACGCTGACTGAGATTACTCGGAGCAGCATGCATGGGAATAAATTACAATATAATAGATATCTGTATATTTCTTGCTTTCCCCCTGATGACTTGAATAACACGGTGCTACTGCTGCTGCGTTTTGCTGGTCTGTCTTGTCTGTCCGTGCGCTGTCAGTATCCTCTTTTCACGCCACGACGTTATCAATTATGAATTTAGTTTTCACTGCGTGAGAAAATGGACATGTGGCGTGAGAGCACAAACGGCACCCCATACCTCAAAGTGTATTTAAAGGTCGCAGCCTCTTACTTGTCCCGTAAAATTTACGTAGAAAATATATCTAAGGCATAAGCTACCTAAAGTAAACTAAAAGCTGTTCTTGTTCTGTTTTTAAGTACATGTATACATGTTCTCACTGAAAGACAACTCAAGTATTTTCCCCAACAGTCAGAATCCATGCTTCGGTCGCTGACAGCTGTTTAGAAACACTGAAATAAGACCGTAGCATACAATTCTGGACCCTGCATGAGCAGTCTCAGAGGGCCCACCATCCTTCCTCTCTATCCATGTCTCTTACGCACCGTTTAAATTTTGCAGTCGTTCTGCCCTTTTCTCTTTTTTCTTAAACATTATTTGAAGCTAAATGTGGCAAAATGTTATTTTCAGCGTGAGCCACTTTACAAACGGCACCCCATATTGAGGACCCTACACAACAGTGAAGGGAGGGGCAGAACATAGTGTATGGAGAAAATTTCTCCACAACACTGACTGTTTGTATTGTTATCTGCGCATCATGCCTTTTGAATTCGTTACGAACTACCACAACTTCGTATCATTTGAGTGAAGAGCACCACAGCTCTTCACTCAAATGATAGACTACATATTATTTATTGTCTAAATAGTATGGTGAAGATAGGATGATCACTGATTGATCACGGTTACATTACATCTATAATGAAAAAGAAACAGCTCTTTCGCGGATAGTGTGTGGCTCTTAAAAGAGCCGTTTTGGGGGCCGGTTTCCAGCAGTCAAAGAGTGTCCAGGTTTACTTGGCCTTGCCGGCCTTCTCGGTCTTCTTGGGCAGCAGAACAGCCTGGATGTTGGGCAGCACGCCGCCCTGAGCGATGGTCACTCCGCCCAGCAGCTTGTTGAGCTCCTCGTCGTTGCGGACAGCCAGCTGCAGGTGACGAGGGATGATACGGGTCTTCTTGTTGTCGCGGGCAGCGTTTCCAGCCAACTCCAGGATCTCAGCGGTCAGGTACTCCAGCACAGCCGCCAGGTAGACGGGGGCGCCGGCACCGACACGCTCCGCATAGTTTCCTTTGCGCAGCAGCCTGTGGACACGGCCGACTGGGAACTGGAGCCCAGCACGGGAGGAGCGGGTCTTTGCCTTGGCTCTGGCTTTGCCACCGGTTTTTCCGCGGCCACTCATTTTTCAGATGCTCTCTAAAGTCGGGACAAAGAGAAGTGTTCTCTCAGCAGCTGAAACCCTCCTCTATATATCCACAGAGCGCGGGACGGTTCCTGCCAGACCAACCAGAAAAGAGGCTTCATCAGAGCAGCAGAGGGCGGCCCAGCCTGAATTTTGGCGGACCTTTTGAAAGGATTTCCAGCCAATAAGCAGCGGAGTCTCGGGCGGTGGGTCGCTCCTTCAGGCGGTGCTGAGCTCCGTAGGAGTCCCTCACCAATCAGGAGCCGGAGGTCTGAAGCAGCGTCACAATTTTACAGCCAGTCTCAGAGTTGAAAAGCAGCGTGTCTCCCCGTAACATTGCGTTATTATCTTGATCAGCGAAAGGAGAAGTCATGGCAAGAACCAAGCAGACCGCTCGTAAATCCACCGGAGGCAAAGCCCCGAGGAAGCAGCTGGCCACCAAGGCTGCCCGTAAGAGCGCCCCGGCCACCGGCGGCGTGAAGAAGCCTCACCGTTACAGGCCCGGTACCGTGGCTCTGAGAGAGATCCGTCGCTACCAGAAATCCACGGAGCTGCTGATCCGCAAGCTGCCCTTCCAGCGCCTGGTCCGAGAAATCGCTCAGGACTTCAAGACCGACCTGCGCTTCCAGAGCTCCGCTGTCATGGCTCTGCAGGAGTCCAGTGAGGCTTACCTGGTGGGCCTGTTTGAGGACACCAACCTGTGCGCCATCCACGCCAAGAGAGTCACCATCATGCCCAAAGACATCCAGCTGGCCCGTCGCATCCGCGGAGAGAGAGCTTAAACTCTGCTGCTGCTCCACAAACCACAACGGCTCTTTTAAGAGCCACCTCACTCCTCACTCAAGAGATCACTCCTCTGTTCAACACATGTCATGGATGACAACTGGTTAATGATTTATTTATTTCAAAGAAGTTAATGGAGTTAGCCTGCAAGAAACGAACTAACAAAGCAGGCCATAACCTAATTTAATAATAGTGGGTTGGCATGATAAAGTATTTAGTGAGAAACATCGTTTAGTCCATCTCGTATATTCAGTTTATGGACATATGGGGCGATAATAAACCACTAAGTGGTCTCCTCTCCTACAGCCTGAAGAATCTTTACAATTCTGAGCTTCTCTGATAGATTACAATAGGCCTATTGGCTGTTAAGCAAAGCTGGGCAAAGTTTCCGATTGCTTTAAAGTGATCCTCTAATTTAAAAAAAAACATACTTACATGAAAGGTAATTAAATCATACAACTGTTGGAGTGCTTTCCCTGCTTCACTTTCTGCGGATTTAGAACTGTTTAGTAGTGATGGTGAGATGAAGCGAAGCATTGAAGCTTTCCAGCAAATTGTTTCAGAAAAGGGTTCATTTCTCGAGGCTTCATGTGCACACGAAACCACCTGCTGGCCAAAGTGTGTAAGACAGGCAGCTGTGATCTTACCATGTAATCTGTGATACACGGTATTTTGTGTCAGTAACGGCTCTTGGGAAATGACTATAAATAATAAAATATAATAATAAAATTTAATAATAATAATACATTTTAAAAAATGTATGACCATATAACTTATTTATATCAGTATAGTGAATTTTCTAGTGGGTAGCCTATATTATGGCTGTACTGTATCAAATACATGTATAATGAACTAATTGTATTGTGAATGCATCCTATGTGTATAAACCATTCATTTGGCCAAAAATTGTATTGTGGTGTCGTGTAATATAGACTAATATAATAATGGCAGGAGGGGTAATATTTGTGTACTGTGTCACTTCTGTCAAAACCTCACGCCAAGATCTGAACCACTTCCCGAACCAGTCACATGGTACAGCCGGGTAGCGAGGCTTCGGGTTTCATCAATGACGTCACTCGTCTGAAACGATACAAGCCTAGATACTAGAATTTATACTTAGGGATTTATCCAGGTTTCCTAGGCTAATTTATAGCCTACAATGTAAAATGCTGGCGCTAATAAAGTTAGCATGTTGTATTTGTGGAGAAATGTGTCCAGATAAAGACAAGTGTTTGTCTGTGAATGCTACAAGTTATAGTGATGCCAATTTGCGTACTTGTGTTTGAAATTGTCTCTATTAAGCCATGTTTAATGTGTGTTTTGAATCAACTAAACTTTACAGCACTTCACAGAAACCTCCACTGCCGACTAGCGTATTGGAACTGTAACTGCAGAGTGACACAGACACACCATCGCAGTCGTAAAAATGCTCACAACAGCGAAGGCTACATGCGTAAAGTCTATGCACAACTATAAATCCCCTGTAACTTAGAAGCATCGGCACAGCACTTAACATCTAGGCTACTTGTTAGATTTTGATTAAAAATGAGAACAAACACAAACAGTATTGGCTTTTTTAAAAGGAAAACTTCTGCATTTATTTCAACCTGAACCTTATTTCCCTGTGTAAACTGGTCAAAGAGACTGTCAATTACACTTTTTTGACAATTGGTCCAGTATTGAGGGAGTGGGCAGCAGCTGGCAGTTGTGGGACTGGCTGCAATGGAAGCACATGGGGCAACTGAACACCGTTACTTTAGGTTTGTTAAAAGTGGTTATTGTCACCACAGGATCAGGTTGTTTTAAGTGTCTTTAGTGTCTCTTTACCTTTCACTTGATCCGGTCTGTTTGTTATTGTGTCACTAAATGGAAGTCTGGTTCTAAAAATATCTCGAGATGTCACCTGTTGCAGTCAGACAACAGTTGAAACATGAGTGAGATTTGGAGAGTATAATAACCAGAGTAGTTTACACAAAGTGTATGTTAGTCTTAGCTGAAAGATTTTCCATGACATGGATGATTGCTTACCTGATTTCAATCATGTGGATGAGGTCTTTGAATTTGATGGCTGCTCTTATTTATTTGAGTATATGTATTAACAGCGTACCAGGCGAGGGAGGGGGCAACAACCAACTGAGGTTTTTATTTTACTCTTTTACATAGCCTATTCATTACATCTTACTGGTGCTTCTTGTTATGACACAATCCCCTTTGGTGCTGTAACACTGCTCAATACTGGACCAATTTCAAAATTTGTTGTTCACATCATTCTCTTTGACCAATTCACGCAAGGAAAATAGGGTCCAAGTTGAAAAATGCCAAAGTTATCCTTTGAAGTTTAAATCAAGACAGTGTTATTACAGTAAGATTTGCTTATCTGAGTCCCCTTCATGAAAATCCCCTCTGCTGTTATTGTGTCTGAGAGTAACATTATCATTCAGGAGTACAGCAGTGTAAGCCATTTGGTCACTAAGGATATCTCATTGCATTACCAGGTCATTTATTCAAATACATTTGAATTCTGTGATGAAGGATGAATTATGTTGATGTGAGAAAATGAGCTATATATGTGGGACATTACACTCGCTGTAGCAACCACAAATCTGTTTTTAAAGCACTTGCCACCAAAGTGTACACTCGGTATCCAAGGTCCTGTCCTGTTTCTGAGCACCACCACACAGAATAAGAAGGCGAGGAAACTGACAGCGGCCAAGAAACCAACAAGGAGCCCCAAGAAGTGATCCAAAAAGACTATTGAGAAAGTTGCCAAAAAGACCACTGCAGCCAAGAAAGCACCTGCAGCAAAGAAACCTGCAGCTAAGAAATCTCCTGCAAGAAAGCTGCCAAGCCAAAAGCAAAGAAAGCAGCAGCCAGGAAGAAGTAAACTGTCATCAGAAACAGCAAAGGCTCTTTTAAGAGCCACCCACACCATCCTTAAAGAGCATGTCCTTTCTTCTTTATATTGAGTGCAGGTGTATTAACATCTTAAATATTTGGTGCAAGTGGAAAGAAAAGGGAAACACAGAATCGTTTATAACAGGCTATTATTTATTTGTAACTTACAAGAGAAGCAGCCGTGTTTCTCCTAACCTTAGAGTTACCAAGTCATTAAAGTCAGATGTCTGTTACAGATTTTTTTCTTTAACCATACCATGTATGAATGGACTTTGTTGTAGCTGTATGATGCTGTAGAGCTGAATCACAACTGTCCTCACTTAAACAAATTTCGTGATGAATGTCATAGTAAATAAGCACAAGAAGAATAGGCATATAAATAAATAATCAACAGTATAGATTAGTGAAAGTGATCACTCACTTTACTGAAAACAAAAAGTGATCAGTCAGTCATAAAAGAAGAAAAAAACCCAATGAGAATCAATAGTGTAATTGTTACTTACAACATAACACAGTAAACATGATCTTAATTTATTGAAATAATCGTGATGATCCAGTGATGAATGTGCCAGGAAGAAATATGATTCTCCAATCTAACCTTAACTCTCAATATTAGAGATTAAACTGTATACAGTTTAATCTCTAATATTAACTATAGTTAAAAAAAAATAGAGAAAAGAAAAACTACTATTAACTAGTGCTTGTTATGTTATGATGTATAACAGTGTAGCTAATTTTCATCCTTATACTCAGAAATCACTTGTTTCATGCTCAATGATATTTAAGTTTAGGCTGTTGTTTAAGTTTTTATCAGTTCTGGTTTATCAGTATAGTTACAGTCATAACCTCCTACACAGTAACCTATAGTAAATGTATGTCCAAAGTAAGTCATCTGTATCTATATCTGAGAGCACTGAATGGTTTTTGATCTACAGATGCAGGGCCGCCCCTCCCTAAACGCAGAACACGCGCTGTGCCTCATCTTCCATGGGGGGGGGGCACATTTTGCGCGAGGGGACGCATGAGGCGCGCGTAGAATCAGCTCGAGGAAGGAGAGAAGAGACCTGTAATCTGACCGCGCATGCGTCGTTGCAATGGTTGACATCACTCTATGCATCTGACCAATCAGAGGGGTGCGCCGGCAGGCACTTGCAGAGCTGCAGCAGGTGAAGAGTTGTCGACATGTCGTCCAAAAGACAAAGAAAGAGGGAAAAAAGGGCAAAACAAGAGGAAGCTCGTGCTTCACATGTCATTGCAGGAACCAGATATCTTTAGTGTCACAACTGAGAGCTGCTGTTTTTCTGGATGTTGATGCTGGTAAATTTATCATCAAATCTAACATATACAGGAGGAACACAGACAGCGTTCAGTGATTTAGGTGGAACATGACTGCATCTTCTTGATACTGTAGGCCTACAGACTAGTTTTCCTTCAAGACATGTGACCAAAAATAAAAACTCTTAATATCCTGATTACAGATGATGAGAAACTGGAATGGTTGTATTTTGATGTCAAAGAAGGCATGATGGGTTATTTAAGTAGATTCAAACCTGCTATTACAGAGTGCAGGTATTGAAACAGTGAGTGGTACTAACCAGAAGTGCAATGCTACGCATAGGCTACACAGTAACAGTACCCTGAAAAGCTGATATAACCTTTAGCAAAGGATATAAAAACATCAAATTGCTAAACAAAGTTATGTGCTACACAACATATTCGGTTGTTTTACTAAAGGCATACATCAAATTGGTAAATATGGTGTAGCCTACTACACAACCTCTTTAGTTAGGAATAGTATTAACACCTCCTGTAATTCTCTATAGTAATAGAAACTTTAGACAATAGGAAGAACTCTTCAGAAAAACTGGGTGGCTCTTAAGAGCCTTGAGTTGTCGGTTATTTCTCAGGACTGTTTACTCAAAGCTGGTGTACTTGGTGACGGCCTTGGTGCCCTCAGACACAGCGTACTTGCTAGCTCACCGGACGCTTACCTATAGAGTAGCAGGCCTAGGGTTGAGAATCATAACAGAAAACGAGCTCTTCAAATTAATGTGGGTGGCCCTTAAAAGGGCCTTTGGGTTTCAGTAATTAACATTAAGTGTTTAACCTCCGAAGCCGTACAGAGTGCGACCCTGCCTCTTCAGAGCATACACCACATCCATGGCGGTCACAGTCTTCCTCTTGGCGTGCTCGGTGTAGGTGACGGCATCACGGATCACATTCTCCAGGAACACCTTCAACACACCGCGGGTCTCCTCGTAGATCAGACCGGAAATACGCTTCACTCCACCACGGCGAGCCAGACGGCGGATAGCGGGTTTGGTGATTCCCTGGATGTTATCACGGAGAACTTTACGGTGACGCTTAGCGCCTCCTTTACCGAGTCCTTTTCCTCCCTTGCCTCTTCCGCTCATTTTCACTGCTCAGATTCTTCTGCACAATAACGTTCACTGCTGAAGTCACACGGAGTTAAATATTGTCTGAGGACGTAATTGAAAGCAGAGCCGGGCTTGTTCTTCTTCTTTGGATTTTCATGACAGTTGATCATTAACTCTTTAGCGCCAACTACCGAACAACGGCATTTATCAGGGACAGCGTGTCTCCAGTCAGGCGTGTTGCTCTATAGGTCAGCGAAAGAGAAAACATTTGTACTCTGTGTGTGTGTGTGTGTGTGTGTGTGTGTGTGTGTGTGTGTGTGTGTGTGTTTGTTGGTAGATAGGTGTGTTTTCTTGACACTTCAATAATGTATTTATGTAGGCTAATTGTCTTGTCTGACTGTCTTGTCTGACTGTTGGGGGATGACCTGCAATGTGCCACTAAATCACATACTTCTCTTATGTGTGAAGCTGTTTTTATCAATAAAAAAGCACTAAATTTTCTACAATTAAATGATTTTTTGCTTCTTCCTGGTTGTTTCTGCTCTGACAGTGCTGGAACCTGCTTTCTGTGTCTGGTGGGTGTCACAATATGACACCAAAACTGAATGACTGGTGAAAAACAAACAAAGTGTGAAAACAGAGTGATAAACAAACTGTAATGAGCATTATTAAGAATTATTGGCTGAAGACTTTATTCTTCATCATTTCTGAAATCAGGTGTGTTTACTCACCTCAGTAATATAGTGTAGCCTATGTTAAACTGATATTTTGACGTAGCTGTTTGTTGGAGGTTCTCTGGAAGCAGGTGAGTACCTTCTGTAGTGCAGCAGGATGCTCTGTGATTGGCTGTAGCTGTGTCTCAGCTCTCCCAGGTGAGAGCAGGTAAGTGTAGGTGAGAGGACTCTTGTGCAGCCGTCGCTGTCTGAGGTGCTGAATTGACACACTGGCAGAGATGCTGACTCTGTCCTGTGTGCTGAATCATGGTGGAGTAGCCATGAGGCTGCATCCTGACTAAGAGCACCTTTACCCACAGGTCACACCGACAACATCAACTTATTAATCTTTGTAAAGCTGCACAGTCAGTGAACAAACCCACATGTCACTATGACTCTATGATTTCATCTGTCCATTATCTTGGCACAGTCCTCAGCATCTTTGAGACTAACTTGCAGCTGCAAAATCTAATATCATAAAACGTGTGTAAATAGTTTGTTAATGTGTTGTAAAGAACATACAGCGTTACCTGAGTTATCAATTAATCCAAGAAAAGTTTATACTTTCATTATCAATAATAAAGGTCTCTCTGAAAACAAACTATAATTTACCATCAGCTTCCGTTTTTTTTAAATCACAGCTGGTGTCAGTTATTCAAGCTTTTTATACATCTACTTCTCAGTTATATAATAAACAAACCCAAATGTGAGTTGAATGCAAGACTAGAGTAATTCTACACTGTAGTATTTACAGTTTTACTTGAGTAAAAGATCTGTGTACTTTTTTCACCGCTAGTCAATACCAACAACTTTCTTATTGTAACTAAACTCTGAACTATTAACCTATGAATAAGGCTATGGGCACCATGAACTCGTTTGTGATCTACATCTTTGAGCGCATCGCCGGTGAGGCCTCCCGTCTGGCTCACTACAACAAGCGCTCCACTATCACTTCCAGGGAGATCCAGACCGCCGTCCGCCTGCTGCTGCCCGGTGAGCTGGCCAAGCACGCTGTGTCTGAGGGCACCAAGGCCGTCACCAAGTACACTACCTCCAAGTAAACAGTCCTGCTGAGAAATAACCAACAACACAAAGGCTCTTCTAAGAGCCACCCACTTTATCTAAAGAGTTCTTCCTGTTGTCTTCAAAGTTTCAGTAACTGTAGAAAATTATAGTAGCCTATATCTAGGCATTTGTGACCTTTAGTTCAATTAATTTAAAGATAGGGCTCGTCCGGGATTTGAACCCGGGACCTCTCGCACCCTAAGCGAGAATCATACCCCTAGACCAACGAGCCATATTTTATGTGGAAAAAGAATGGAATAAGAATTTCCCCTATTCTTTCCAAACCTGCAGTTAAACTCCACACTGTTGATGTGGCAGCTTAAAGACCCATTGTTATCCGGTCAAACAGCGCCCTCTGCTGCACAACATTTTACATCCCATTCAGCACGTGTCCTCTGAGCTCTGCAGCGGACTGTGTTGATCGGGTGTCCGCACTAAGTTCCGTATCGATATGGTGCTCCTGGGGGAGCCTGGGAACATGGATTTGTAATATAACAATAGACTTTTCCCCAGAAATGAATGATAACTCACTTAAGTAATACAACTTTTTTTCATTTGGAAATTCTGATGACTTTGAGTTTGGTGTTCGTCCAGTTGAATTCTGACAGCAGTTGTATGTAATTTGCTGCAACTGACTGCTGGCTGTGTGCACCATGTACTGTGCAACAATCAGCCAAAACATTAACACCAATCAACAGGACTCAAAAGATCAACACCCCAGTGCCAGACACTATAGGACGACCCCACAGGTCCCGTGTCGGTGCCTTAACAGGTCAGAGCCACGTCTGATTCAAGCAGGCCTGACCTTTGGATCGGGGGTACCTCTGGGGTACCAGCACATTCCATGCATGATCGATCAGGTTAGAATCTTGGGATTTTGGAGGCCAGGTCGATGTCTTGAGTACCTAATCACATTCCTGAACAGTTTTTTGCAGTGGAGCATGGGACATGGTCCTGCTGGGGGGGGGGGACAAGTACTTTCCCTCATTCCTGTGAGGGTGATTAATTGATCTGTATTTGGGTGGCTGACACATGTCAGTTGACATCCACATCCACATTGATGCCAGGAACCAAGGTTTCCAAGCAGAATCAATGTTTTTTGATTCTTTTGTCACTAGTGTTAGGTTTTCGATTGATGATTATATGTCCCCTCATTTGTGACCTTGAATCTTTTGATTTAAAATCTGGGCTCGTCCGGGATTTGAACCCGGGACCTCTCGCACCCTAAGCGAGAATCATACCCCTAGACCAACGAGCCATATTTACCATGGAAAAAATAAGGTTTCACATTTCCAGCCCTGTCATTTCCAGACGTGCAGTTAAACTCCACACTGCTGATGTGGCAGCTTGAAGACCCATTCTCATCTGGTCAAACAGTGCCCTCTGCTGCGCAACATTTTACATCCCATTCAGCACCTGTCCTCTGAACTCTTTACAGTATTCTCCTGTAGAGCTCCGCCTCGTCATCTGTGACATTATTTTGTGTATCTAACATTAACATCTGCTGCATGTCTCATGGTACCTGTGAGCCAGCCTCACTCATACAGACCTCAACTCGAAAACTCCCTTTCGAGTCTCCCTAGTCCTTCTGACACTTTTAGTGTTGCGTGTCCTTTTCTGAGGTTTCATCACAGATGAAAGTTTTCATGGACAGTTTATTTGTTAGATGAAAGTGATTCAGCTGAGGATTGTAACAGATCTTCTTTAGTTTATTTATTTATTTATTTATTTCCAGATTTCCGTGATTTGAATTTGTAAAAGTTTGGAGCTGTATGATGTATTTGTAGCTACAGCACATTTTCTTAGTGGTAATTCTCCACCACACTCAACACCCACTCCTGCTCATTTTAAAGTTCAATAAAGTCCATCAGTCTCTGCAGTCATCAGATCAGACATTTCAGGTCACAAGAATGAGCATAAAACACGTTCCTTTGAGATCTTTGTGCATTTTTACTGCGGTTTGCCACAGCTTTCTGTTCTCATTAGTTTCAATGAGGAATGCTAAAAGTGATCAAGAAGCTACAGTGATACTTATAAGAACTAATGTTCTACACAGTGAAATGACCAGCTCATATTATTTTCACAGATAAAGATTACAAGTTGTTCATACTAAATATTAGTTATCAGCCTCTAAAGGAGAAAGTTTTTTTGTCTTCAACCTCAATATTTTCTCCTGAACGTGCACACACTTGATCCTTCTTCAGTTTATGGGGTTGCCTTTCCTTTTCTGAGATTTTATCAGAGATGAAAGTTCTCATGGGCTGTTTATTGGTCAGGTGATTGTGATCCAGCTGAAGATTGTATCTGGTCTTCCTTTTTTCCAGATTTTCATCATTTGGATTTGTAGGTTTTTATAAAGGTTTGAAGCCTTATAACGTATTCATACAGTTTGTCTTTGTGGTTTTCTCCAGGCTCTGGTGGACTTCACAGACTTCCAAATATATATGAAGATCCACTTCATCCCAGTTTATCTAACACAACTTCATTCTTCCAACTCTCTCTTGTTCTCACTCCTGAGAAGTAAATCAACTCAGCCTCCACCACTGGCCACCACATTCGCTCCCATGTTTGCAACAGTTGTAACCATTTCCTCTTCCAAGACCCTCTTATATCCATCCCAGACAAGCATTAATGGACAACCTCGAGCCCCATGTTTATCCCCTTCTCTCATTTGTTTATCCTTCCTCAACATTCTGTATTTCCCTGTCCTATTAAACCTTTACAAATCGCTTGGTCATGGTACAGTCCTTGCTAGTAAACCAGTTTAGTAATTGGCTTAAGTCTGGGAGCAGGACCACACCTCACTACTTATACCTAATTTTCCTCCCCACACAATGTGTTTCCGTTTTCTTTCTCGCAATCAAAATTTTCATTGCTTTTTAACATAAAAATCATTAACTAGATCGTATTTAAGTAGGCCCTTGTTTCCGTTTTCTTGACCCACCCTCACTTTCCCTCCAAGTCATCCTTCCGTTCAATACCCTCCTCCCTCGGCATTGTTGTCATCCACTCCCCTCGACCCCATCACAATCCAAGCACCCCTACCCACTAAGCAAATCCGCAAAATCTGTCCAGTGTTTCCATATCAGGTACGAGTTATTCATGCTGTCCCCAAATACAATAACATGATTGCCCAGCAGTCCACTTTCATGTTATAGGCGCAGTTGATATTAACACTTGACACATTCCGTGCTGGAACTATACTGCGTACTATGAACTCCTGAGACTAACCTTTCAAGCCAGCCTGAACAGGGGTCAGTGTACTGGTCCCT